AATTTCACTATATTCGCGATTCGTCATTTTTCAAAGAAATTAAACCCACCGTGAATGCTGTCACTGTTTTTTTTTATTGTTAAAATGCGTTAACGAAATTAAAATGAAGTTCTTGCGGAGTGAAATTTAAACAATCGCGATTGGTACTTTTTAAGAAATAGTGAAATTTTACCGCCGACTACAGTATATGGTATCTTAGGCTGTCAACTATCATTTGGCAAAGAAAAATATTACACATTTTAGTTTTAAAAATCTTACCAGTTTTGTATATCTTCATATGGAGTTTTCTTCTAAAGGAGATCAATATAGTCTTAAAATGGCCGTGACCCCCAGCCCTCTTAACGGCAGATTTTCGGGGTGGGTCATAAATGGATGGATCATAGCCCCCACTGTCCTAAAAGATAAAAAATATTATTTATTTACAAAGTACATAAAATGAACTTGGTACAGGTATGAACAACCTAAGGGAAATAACTGGTAATTTGCATCAATTACACCTTAATTGACTCCATTCCTGTTGAAAACGGGAGGTATTTCTTGTCATATTTCTAACTTTTGGTACCATCTCATCTTACACAGCTTTTTTATTTGAACTAAATTGTAGCCCACACACGCTTATAGAATTGCGATTACGTAACGAAAAACGTCTTCTTTATTTTGATAGTCGTATTGTAGATTTTGATTTGATAAGGAGTTGTGAAGAATTCATATTACAAGTGAAGTGCTGCACAACTTTTGTTCGATTTATCATTTCATTATCTGGATTCTAAAAGAAACTATCAGACAAAAATGTACAGGTGCAATGATCGTAATTACTACAGGTATGCACCTACAGGTTGAAGTCAAAATGAAGTAAGTATTGAAAAGTTGAAACGTCATTCAGTGGCCTTTTAACCTTACAATTTTTTCGATGCTATCTTTTCTTCCTCTTTTTGAAAGGCGCTTTTACATGCTAAAATTCATGGGTTTTAATCGGATGTTGTTTTTGTCATCCTATTGTTTTACAAGTATCTCTAGTAATCATTGGCGAATCCTATAGTTTTAGTCAGGCAAATCGTAAAATACCAATAAATAGACGCTTTTTGTAGCAGTTGATGTGAATCTGTATGTATGTTAGGGAGGGTGTTTGTGTATGTTTGTGGGAGGGGGTGTCCCCAGTGGGACTTTTGATTTTGATAATTGGTGCGCTGTTACAATTCTCGATATGCTGTTGATTTGTTTTTGGATGATTTGTGTATCCAACTAATTTGTGTTTTTTCCCAAAAATTCCGTCTGAACGTTTTGGTCCAGTGTATGAGTAAAATAAATGTGCGCTTCTTTGGATATATCATTTGATTTCAATGTCTAGGGTGCCCACCCCATTGGTCATTAAAGAGAAACATTTCAAAGTTTGATGAGAAATCGATTGTCTGAAACTAAAATGAGAATGAATTCTTAAAATTAAAGATGTATTACATATATTTAAGATTACTGCAAGAAAATTTTTTGAATATTATACCAAGCATGTACTTTTATATCTACATGTACGATGGAACCTGATCCCACATCTAATGTTTTGGAGGTCCGTGTTTGCTCTGCTTCTACTTTGTATTGTTGTTTTTTTTTTTGGACTTTGATATTGAATCATGTTCGTTATTTCCGTATTCTACATCATTCCACTACATTTTCTTCACGTCTTTTATTAGGTATATATTAAAAAAGCATTTTCTTAGTCTTTAGCTCTTCTGGATTGTATTTATTTATCATCAGAGTAAACACTTAAATCATTAGCATGTGACATTTCTCGGGAGTTAAAAACTACTATATATCTAAGGTTAAATGTAAATGTACACATGCATCTGTCTACACAAGTGGTAGGTTTAAGAAGCGCCTTAGCTTGAAGCGAAGTATCTTGCAGCTAAAATGCAGTTTAAATAGCCGAATTTTTAAACGGTTTTAATTTCAGTCCTTTGAGTAGTGTTTTCAAAGAACAGAAGGAAAATTTTGTTGTGAAACTGGTAACAGAGCACGTTTACACATGTATGCTCATTAAACATACACTTTTTTCTAATAGGTGGAGTTGGAGCTCTCCAGTAGCTCTTTGGCATACATTCATCACTTCGAGTTCACTCTTTATTTTAACAATAATTATCATAGGATTTAGCTGAACTTGAAATAAGAGTTGAAAATCATAGACTACTATGAATTAAATAAATTCTCAAAACGGGAGCATTCTATTTGTGTTAGTATATTTGAATTCCTGAAAACCAATCTTAAAAACATATTCCTGCATTGCATTGAAGAAAATGAAAGAAATTACCCGACGAAAACGTCCACTGGACAAATATATGAACATATATAAATTAACTGAGAACAGCTTTTACTCTTTAAATCTTTTTATTATATTACATTCTCTATTTTTCATAAAAACCAATTAAAATGTATTTTATGACTGGAATCTGGGCGTTCTTTTCACAACCTATTGAACCTATTGATTCGTATCAAATCATCTTAATTAATATTATTGTTTTAAAATCACTAGTACATATACTAATAGGATTCATGTGTTTGGAACAAAAATGGAAAAAAATGACACATCGATGTTCAATGTCTATACTAACTATATATTTGGGGAAAAAAGTGGGGTGGGGGGAGGGGGGCTTAGCCCTCCATAGCTTCGCCGGTTCCGACGCCTATGGATTCAAAGAAAAAAAAAAACACTCATCTATCAATGTAAGCCTTTGCACGAGGTTTATCTTACATAATGTTGCTTCGGGTTTGAAAAAAAAAAATGGTTTCACTTCTTTTTTTAAACAAGTTTTATATTCACATATTATTGCTGGACCTGATCGGCTTTCCTCCTTTAATTTAATGGAAACGCATTTTCCCTGTAAAAGTCTGCATCATTAATAATACTAAACAAAGATAAACAAACACACACTTACACAACGACAGCTGTTTATAAGCAAACACATGACAAGAGAAGCAGAACCCTACCTAAATATAAACATGGTACTATTCAAATCCCGACCATGCACGAATCTACAAGATTTTTAGACTCAGAAATAATCCGATATTTCATTTGGCATGAAAAATATATTTAAATGTCCTGGCTTAAGGGCATCAATTTTATTTGTGTAAAATATTAGATGCATAGTGATAATTTCCTTTTCTCATAATTATATATTAGAAGCAATCAAATTGGAAAAGGTGAACCTTTCTTGGTCAAAAGGCCAACCACCTCAAACCTTCTTAAGCTTTTGACATTCAAACCACAACAAATGATTCATACCTCATTTTAATTTCAAATTATTTCAAGTTCATTATCGAATTAGTACATACTCTGCAGGGCATATGAAATTTCGATACACGAACGCATTGGAAATATGCATGCATTGGTATAGAATCAAGAATTTTCATTTTTATTTTTAAAAATACAAAAATTGCAACTTTATAGTACTCGCCACCTTGCTTCACCAGGTAATGAATTGAATGATTTAAATAGTGTTAATTTGTGTAGTTACCCCACATTTGTCTAAAAATTTATTAGTTTAATATATGTACAAAGTTTCATTAATATATGACATCGGGATCATTAAAAATAAATCTCTACAGAATTTCGGGACAACCCTATTACTATATAATTTTATTTATTTGTTTTGGACACAGTTCCCTCTTTTTTTGTACGCATTGCTATACAGCAAAACTCGTCTAGTACGAACACGGTTATAGCGAATTCACGGTTAAAGCGAAGTTATTTTGGATCCACAGCTACATAATTTAACAAATTCCTTATATGGATATAACGAATTACGATATAGCGAAGTAATTTCATAGATCCCAGTGACTTCGTTATAACCGAGTTTTACTGTACTGAAAAAAAAATGTATTGTACGCTTTCCGATGCTGAAAAAGAACTGTCTTACATGTACTATTTTAATTTGCATAATGTTAAATAAAGAAAAAATGGGGTTGTTGTATATTTTAGAATTTTTTGCAATCAACAATTATGTATTATTTATATGTAAATAATATTTAATGAAGAAGATTAAGTTTAGGTAAGAATATACTAGTAATCAGGGCCCTGGACGAAATTCAACTCAACAAAATGAGGTACACATGGAAAAAAAAAAAAAACAACATTTAGATGTTTTGACACCAAAGTAGCGTACTGGTATAAACCTGTATTGATTGATTGATTGTTTGATTGTTTGTCGATTAACGTCCCATTAGAAATTTATTCACTCATATGGAGACATTACAATATACCAGTGTAAGGCAAACAAAGTTCATTTTACTCGATATACAGGGACATTAAGCAATGGGGAATCTTTATCATGCCATCTTCTTTAACACCAGTCCTTGGTTTGGTTTTTATGGTATTATGGACACGCAACTTTCACTTCAAGTGCCGAGCGCATGACGAATGGACAGTTACTATATATCTCTTATAGACTTAGGTCTGTTAGGCTGATTTGAACCCAGAACCATCCGATCACTGATTGTACTGTCTGCCGTCTGAGCTTCTGTGATGGTGTTAAATATGTCTATGTGGGTAAACCTTGAAATTATTAAATCGTGAAGAATTTTGAGTTTTTTTTTTTTATTTATACAATGTGGAAATGCATCCATTTTTCAGGTGAGTTTGTGTCTATAATACATGGTTTCAATAGTATCTACTACAAATTTGTCCAAAAATTGGGAATACATGTAATTTTAAATAATATGAAACATGAATCTGACATTTTGAGCATTAAATGGCAATAGTTTAATGAGGTGTTAAGCCGCTAGTCTGTTTGAGAGAGACACTATATTTGGTATTTACATGATGACCTCTGTCCGCTAAAATGGTTTTATTTGAAGAGTAAATAATAACCAATATCTAAAATTTAATGTCATGAACGGAAAAATTATGCTCTTTAGCCAAGCATTTAAAGTTTTAAATAGCATTGCTCTTTATAAAAGATCGGAATATTTTTGGACAGTCTCGTTGATTTTTGCACGATCCACAAGGTCCAACTATGGCTACAACCATGTCCTTCTATAGATATGGGCTTGCTATCCTTGTCATATGGCTGCTTATTGACAGATGCCATTGTGTGAGTATATATATATTTTTTTAAAAACTTAAATCATAACAATTAGTTATACAGATATAAATTATAGTTTCTTCTGTTCTTGAGGAGAAGAAAAGCAGATCACATACTATTAGGAGGATTTTATACTTTGCATAAAGTAATTTCATTTCTTTTAAACGTAAAATGTTAGCCTTGTAACATTTTGAACCCAAAGGAAGCCTTTAAATGACGATTAAGACTCTCACACTTCGCTTCCGATAGAATAAAGGTTGTGTTTACAAATAACTTTGTTTTAAAGCAATATGAGCTGCAACATTGATGTCGGAATTTTTTGTTGCAAGATTTTAAATAACTACTTCAATGACTGAAAAACAGAACGTTAATAAACTTCTCTTTTTTATATTTGCGATGGAAGAACTATTTAAAAAGCTTCGATTGAATCGAAATTACATTATTGTCGCTCTGTACAATAATGATTTCTTATATAAAGCCTTGTTAAGGATTGTATATATGCTTTATTTTAGTCTAATTGATCATAGAGGTTTAAGGTACACACAAATTTATCAAAATAGCACATTATATCAGCAAAATAAAATTTTCAAAAAGTGCAGCTGATATTGCTTTAAACATTATCATTATAACAGTTTGTACTCTGTTTATTTTCATTGACCATTTGGGACATTTTTTTTCTTAAAAAGCAAGGCTTTTTTATATTACTTATTTACAGACCTCTAATGCAATAAAGGTTTCTGCAAAGCCACAAATCAAACCCTTATATCTGAATGTATCGGAATTTAATGGAGACAGTGTTGTTACTATGCATGGAAGATTCCAATGTCCTCCTGATACGACAGCAGAATTTGAAGGGAAAACCATCAGCTTTGACAAAGGTATCTTGTTACTTTTCGTTTATTTATTTTATTTTATCTTTTGCTTTTATTTAAGATTCTTTTATTGCTAATATTTTATCGCAAATAGAAATGTAGTGATACACTGTTTATGTTTCATTCTATACAATAATTGATTTTTGATGAGGTCTACTCATGACTGTACGGACATGGTCAATTATTAATTGACCGAGGCCGAAGGCGGAGGTTAACCAATATTTGACCTGGTGATCAGATTCCTTTATCACGAGTAAACCAAATTCAAAAGTCACTAACTGCTTTATTAAATGACAAGAAATTTTACAAAACTTTTGACACTTTAGTTATTGTCTCCGTCAGATATAAACTCTCATAATATCATGCGTAGTTGAACAACACATTATATATTTATATTTACATTCAGTGTAATTTTCTGTTTAAATTTCATTAGAAATCCAAAACGTTCAAATCTCTATAACACACGCGAAACCTTTTCACTGCGTGGTAGAAAACACAGTAGGAACTATATGCATTGTTATAATCTAGAAACACCAAAATGTACAATGCTTTGATTCAATTTAATTAAAAACTATAACCCAGTTAGATCAACATAAATATTACAAATATGCGTTTCGAATTAATCTTACATTTTTTTCCTCACAATGTTTGTTTGCGTTATTTAACTTGTAACTTCATTAAACGTCACAAAGGGTTCTTACGTCCATTATCCATGTAAGTTTTGAAGGGCGCTAAATCCTTATTAAATATTACAGAAATGAGCAATTTTGTAGATGGACAATAAGAGAATGTAAATATTAGCATTGAATTCATATTTTTGGATGTCTTTGGTCGTATAACACAGCTGGCCGTTCCGACAAATTATCATTCCGCGTTAACGCGCGATATTCAATTTGTCGACAAGGACAGGTGTGTTATAGGACAAAAGACATCCAAAAATGTGAATTCAATGCATAAATATCGACAGCTTAACAACTAGTTGAACATGGAAAACAGTGTTTTAAACAATAAATACTCATCTATTTACTATTCAAGTAGTTTAATCTCCTCAGGATTGGCGTTTGCCATGCTTACTTTCACAAGGACACATATTTTAAAACATGCAATTTGATTGGTTGAAAAAGCCTTTAAGCAAATCTATGGTTGGTGCAAGGGAAAAAAGCCGAATAAACCTCCCGGTTCTTCACTTGAGGTGAACTAATTCTTAGGTACATCTCAGGAAAGAGCTTCTAGACCAATCAAAAATCACTAAAATTCCTGATCATTTAAAAAACCTTAATGACGCACTGTCTTTATTACGTATTTGTAGTAATACACTATTAATTTTGCATTTTCTTTACTTATGCACGGTTTATGTAACATTTCCTTTGGTGATACACCGTTCATTCAGATTTTTGTTGATTATACACTCTTTATTTCAAATTTTCTTTAGTGATACACCGTATAACACATTTTCCTTAGTGATACCTTTTTTTTATATTAATTGTTTCTCCGGCGGTATGCTACGTTAAAAATGAATATAATAATGATTATCATTTTTCTCAAAATATAGGACGAATCTATGTCCATCACGGAACAGAAAGGCGATTTTAAGTCTAATTAAAAAGGAAGGAAAAGCAAAACTCTTTAAAACGGCAATTCTTTTGTTGTTTTGAACTAGAATGAGCGTCACTTAGATTTAAAACGATAGTGAAAAAATGAAACCGAGTGTCTCTTTAAAATGATTTCATTATTTTAACAAAAATCTCTCTTTTTCTTGTTCACATTAATTTTGTTTTACATACTACAATTCATGGTTTACATCCGAGACACAAAAGTGATATATATATTAATCTATAGTAGAAGTAAAAGTGTTTCTGACAATTTTTAAAACATTTTAAGGACACCTTAGTAAATTGTTGTCTTTGTCCTTGGCTGTGCGACCTGTGCTGTGCTTCCTGTAATAACATTTTTTATTTTCTTCTCTGCAATGCTCAGGCAATTTCATCCAATTGTTGCATAAAGCATCTGTGGGTGAAGGGGAACAAAATTTGCAAATTTTTCGCCCAACCCTGGGGCCTGAGGTTGGGGCAAAAACCACTAAAATGAAAGAAATCTTTATTAGTCCTTTTTACTCATAGATATCACGCAGTCAAAGTGTAGGCGTGATCGTATTAAGCACAGTGTCATTCAAAATTGTGAAATTCATGGTCCCATGGTTAAGGGTTCTGGTTCAAGAGCTCCACTGCGAAAATTCTAAAATGGATTGATTCTTTAAAAAAAATCTTATTCTCTGCCCCCGTTTTTATAAACAGGCTAAATGCAACAAATAGTTTTGAAATTGGGAGTCTTTTTTAAAATTGTAAAATTTATGGTACTAGGGTAATGGGGTTCTTAAATGTATTTTAGGGTGGGGCTATTTCATTTATATAGTGAAAATGCTTCATGGTATCATACAAACTACTACACATCTCTATGATGAGCAAGATCTCTTCTTTCAAAATTGTGAATTTCATGCCTCCGGGATCAGGGGTTCTGGTGTTAAAACAGTCTATATACATGTAAAGTAAATGAAAAAACACCAATTCTCTGAAACTCTTCTCCTCTGTTTCTGAGTATTAAGAATATGAACTTCCTATATAATTATTGACTTAAAAGCCTGCATCTTTCAGAATTGTGAATCAGACCTGTGTCAGGGGGTACTATAGAAGGATAGAAGGAGGGGGGGGGGTAATAATATTCTGAAAATAAATGATTGGTTTGCAACCTGCTCCCTGGTATAAATTATACATTTATGATAAGCAAAGACGGCTTTTCCAAAATTTGTAAAAGGGTCAGGTGTTGCTTTGAAGTGGGGGTCTACTGATTATTGCTGGTTCTTAAATACTGTTTTGTTGAAATACAATTCTTTTTGTTCCCCTGATACGCCAATGGGTATCAAGTAACCAAATCTTAGCAATAAAAATAATAATAATTCTTTATTTAAAGAAGGTAACCAGATCAGTGCACGCACTATTCTTCCCCGGGGCCTTCTATAGACAAATAATCGACATACATACATACATACATATATATATAAATATACACAATCAATAAATAATCATAAGCTATTTCTACATTGTTTTACAAATTTTTTGACTTGATGCTTGAAAGCATTGAGTGTTTGAGACATTCTTGTGAAAATTAGCGACATCAATCAACCAAACTTGTAAGAGATTTATTAGGACCCGACACTCCAAACCACACTTTAAGTAGATATGTTTTTTGCATAGAGCAGATTAATATCTGATTTGAATTATGCAAGTAGTTGTAGAGTGTTTCGGCTATTAAGAAGCCTCATCAGGGGTCACGGACATAAATCATGGTGTTTGTTTTAGGTGAGACCGGATTATCTCGTCACCTATATTCTTGTGTTTGCTGTAAGCAATGATTGGTTGAGAATGAAATAAAGTTTTGCATTCTGGATTTCTAAGAATGGTGTTCCAATATTTTAGAATTCGTTTTTTCAGTCCTTTAACGCAAGGGTTAAATTTAGTAACCAGTACTGTAGGGTTACGTAATGACTGTTCTTTAGTCATTTTGATGATGAGTTTTGATCGGTTTGTGTTGACCGTTTCCTTGATAATAGGATCAATTTCCGAAGTAGAGTAGCCTCGCTTTGATAAGTGCGTCTTGAAGTCATTAAGTGTTGCATGTAATATTTCAGGGTCAGTGGTGTTTCTTGCATGTCTAATGCATTCTCCTTTAATGAATCCTTTAAACACAGCTGGGCTATGAGCGCTCTGTCTGTGTAGATACTGAAAGTTATTTGTTGGTTTGATAAACGACTTGATATCAGATTTGTTAAAATTTTGAAATTTCTGTCCTTTATAAACTGTAGTATCAAGGAAGTTGACAGCAGATGGAGAAATTTCAAATGTAAATCTTAGATGCTTGTGACAGTGATTGCCGATATTAAAGAATTCTTCTATCTCTGGTTGCGTTCCATTGAATATTATGAAACCGTCATCACGGTATCTGCCGTGGAAGACAATTTTGCTGGCATGACGAAATTGTGCCATTATATGCTTTGTGATTTGATACATTCTGATGTCACAGATCTCTGGACTGGGGACTGCCCCCATACTTGCTCCTATTATTTGTTTGTAATATTTTCCGTCGAATTCAAAGTAATTGTTTTCCAAGACGCATTTCAGTAAGAAGTTTAGATCCTCAGGGTCCGGATATGGAATGTCTAATTGCGTTTTATTGGCCTGTGTGTAAGCCTCATTTACTGATGAGAGAAGTTCGTTGAATTCCATGTTTGTGTACATGCTCGTCACATCATAAGTAATTAATAATGCGTTTGTTGGCAACGTGAGGCCTTCGATTTTGGTGATAAAGTCCGTAGTGTCTTTGATATAAGTTGATTGTTTTTGTACAATGGGTACAAGAAAGTAATCGCAATATTGTCCTATTTTCCTCGTTGGCGTATCGCATTGCGAGATAATTGGTCTACCAGGTGGTAATTTCCTAATGCTGCACTGACCGTTTATTAGAGCATTGTAAATGTTTGCTGGTATTTTGTGGGTTTTCGGTAAAAGGTACAAATGCCCACATTTGAGTGAAGGTTTTTTGTCATTAAGAAATTTGTAAGTTTCTTTGTCCAGTGACCCATTTGAATGCATTGCGGCAAGTTTATTTTGAATGTTTTCATGCAGTTTGAGCATGTTGGGTTCAGATACTTGCATATAGTGTTTAGATTGCAGTTGGCTTTGTGCTTCTAAGACATACTGGTCTTTGTTCATGATGACAATTGTGTTGCTTTTATCTGCTTTTTTGATAACAATGTCGTTGTTATTTTTAAGAGATAAAATAGCTTCTCTTTCAGCATTTGAGATGCATTTACGCCAACGAGGAAAATAGGACAATAGGACAATATTGCGATTACTTTCTTGTACCCATTGTACAAAAACAATCAACTTATATCAAAGACACACTACGGACTTTATCACCAAAATCGAAGGCCTCACATTGCCAACAAACGC